CCAGGGATAAAACTCGGGTCCTTGTGCTTGCGCAGCAGGAGGCGAAATCACTGAGCTAAATCCCTGGCCCTAAGATCTTTTTTTTAATTAATTTTATTGGTATGCTTTAGGTATACATAATGATAACATTTACCATATGGAATCTGTGCCTGTACATGATAGACCTTGAGCCTTCTTTTTTTCCCATTTACCTCCCCTCCCTTTAACCCCTCTTCCCCTCCTTATTTACAAAAGCTTTGTTTCCATTTTTTTCCTTCTTTTCTTTTTTTCCTTTTCCTTTCCGTCCTTTACCCCTTTCCCTTCTCTAGCTCCCCTTTCCATTTGAACATTTTCTTCCTATTTCACAATATCTATTATACATTTTTGGTCCTCACTTCCACTTTCTTTTTCTCACATCAGAGAAACCATGTGATATTTGAATGATCTGAATGTGTGTCCAATTTATTTCACTTAAGGTGCATCCATTTACTTAGAAATGTCTCAAGTTTGTCCTTCTTTATGGCAGAGTATTACTCCATTGTATAAAAAAACACATGTTCTTTATTCATTCATCAGTCGATGGGCATTTGGGCTATTTCCATAATTAGCTATTACCAATTGTGCTGGTATGAACATGAGTGTGCTTTGGTATTATACTTTTCTTTCTGAAAGATACCAAGAAGGGGAATAGGTGGGTCAAATGGAGCCTCTAGTTTTAGCTTTTTGAGGTATCTTCACACAGGTTTCCACAGTGGTTGCACCCGTCTACACTCCCACCAACAGTGGAGAAGGGTTCCTTTTCCCCCACAGCTCCACCAGCATTTGTTATTGATTGATTTCTTGGTAACACCCATTCTTTCTGGAGTGAGGAGGAATCTCAGCATTTTTTAAATTTGCACATCTTGAATGACCAGTGATCTTGAACATTTTTTGCATAAATTTATTTGCCATTTCTACTTCTTTATGTGAGAGGTCTCTATTCACTTCAGATGCCCAGTTTTGGATTGGGTCTTTAAATATGGGAGCTCTGATTTTTTTAGCTCTTAATATATTCTAGATATTAGTTCTTTGTCTGAGGAACAGCTGGCAAAAATTTTTTCCCACTACATGGGTTGTCTCTTCACTGTTAGTGGTTTCTTTTGCTGTGCAAAAGCTCTTTAATAAGATGAGATACCAGTTGTTGATTCTTTGTGATAGTTCCTGTGCAATTGCAGTTTTGTTCAAAAAGTCTTTGCCTGCACCAATATCTTCAAGAGGTCTACCTATTCTATCTTCCAGCGGAGTCAGTATTTCTGTTTCAATGTTTAGATCTTTGGTCCATTTCGATTTTAGTCTAGTGTATGGTGAGAGTATAAGTGTAGATACAGTCATCAGTATGTGGAAAGCCAGTTTTCCCAGCACCATTTATTAAAGAGGCTATCTTTCCTCCAGTGAAGGTGTTTGGGTCCTTTGTCAAAGACAAGGTGGCTGAGTGTGTTTGGAGTTATTTCTGCACCTTCTATTCTGTTCCATTGATCCTTGGGTCTGTTTTCTTGCCAGTACCATGCTGTTTTTATAACAGTGTAGCTTTGTAGTCGAATTTCATGTAGGGATTGTGATTGTAAGGCAGGATCGTGCTAAGTTAGTTATTGTCCAGGCTGAGCTCAAGCCTTCTATCCTCCTGCCTCAGCTTCCCAGAGTGGGAGGTTTAACTATTTTTAGGAAGAAATTTTAGACCAGATGTGAATTAACATTGAGAAGCTCACAAGTGTTGAAGTTGACTTAAAGAGGATAAGTCAGGATCTAGACAATAACAATAATTTCCCCTTTCTTCTTAAAAGTATGATATAGCTTATGAACAAAACCTCAGTTGCCCATGAACTAGCACAAACAATCAACAAGTGGGATCTCTTCTTACTAAAAAGCTTCTGCACAGCAAGAGAAACCACCAGCAGTGTGAAGAGACAACCCACAATGTGGGAAAAAATTTTCACCAGCA